GGGGTCTAGTGGTTAGATGTTGGGGGGCTGGGAGCCAGGACTCCTGGGTTCTGTCCTGCTCCCCTCAGGCCCCGAGGACTGCGGTACCTGGAGTTCCACTCGCACTTTTTGACAGCGTTCAGGCTGCAGTAGCGGCGACTGAGCGCCAGCGAGAGCTGGGGGCTGACGGCCGAGAAGAAGAACTGGAAGGCCACGAAGCTGCCGGCCACGATGCAGTAACCCATCCGCGTGGACTCCTCCATGGCTGCTCAGTGGCACCTGTGAAAGGAGCGTGCGGTGTGAGTGTGGGGCCCCACAGGGATGGGATCTGGAGCCTTCTGGTCACAAAGCACCAGCCCAGGGCCGGCGAGAGCGGGTTCGGGCCCTGGTGAAATTTTTTTTTCAGGCCCCCCAGCAAGGGCAGACCGGCTAAACAGGGCCGACGAAGCCGGGCCCCGGGCCCCCTTCCAGACCGCCAGGCCCCGGTTATTTGTACCGGCTTCCCCCTCCTCTCGTCGGCCCTGCACCAGCCCCCACATCTGAGCGGAAGGAGAATCGCCATTGGCTGATAGCACTATAGGGCATATGACACACAGCAGAGCTGTTCTCATTCCATCCAGCAAAGGGCAGTGGTACACACACACCCTGCCAGATCTCTGTGGAGCGGCGATAAGTCTGTGTCACAAAGGGGAGAGTACTTAGGAATTTAATTCTGTGTGGGTTCCCCCCGGCTTCTCTGCACTGGAAGCATCGCAGCGATGCCCAGCCCTGTGCCCTTCCCCCACCACAGGCCCTTGGTGCCGTGTGGTGCTGCCCCCCACTCCGAGTCAGGGGATTTTGCTGGGGCTCTCAGTGGCTGTCGCCCAGCAGGCCAAGGCCAGCGGGGGAGGGGGAGCACCAGCAGCCCCCCAGGATGTGCCCCGCTCTCTGGAGGCGAGATAGGGATCTGGCCCCCCGGAGCCGGGGATAGAACCCATGGGGAGAGAGGCCTGATGCTGAGGACCTGCCAAAAGGGAGGGAGCATTATTGAATGATAAGGGGGCAGGAGCCAGGACTCCTGGGCTCTAGCCCCAGCCCTGGGAGGGGAGTGGGGTCTAGTGGTTAGAGCAGAGGGGCTGGAAGCCAGGACTCCTGGGCTCTAGCCCCAGCCCTGGGAGGGGAGCGGGGTCTAGTGGTTAGAGCAGAGGGGCTGGAAGCCAGGACTCCTGGGCTCTAGCCCCAGCCCTGGGAGGGGAGTGGGGTCTAGTGGTTAGAGCAGGGGGCTGGGAGCCAGGACTCCTGGGTTCCAGCCCCAGCTCTGGGAGGGGAGCAGGATCATTTCGGTTTGTGAGCGAGAGGTGGGATCCTCCCAGAGGCCGGAGCTTTAAAGCAACCCCTGGATCTGGCAGGCGCTGAGCGATCCTTGTCCAGAGGAGCTCTGCTGACTGTCATTAAGGATTTGCTTAATGAGCCTCCTGTAGACTAACCTCTGCACTGGAAACTAACCTCTGCCCTTCAATTAATATTTGCTCGAGACGTGTCCTGCTGGAACCCTGAATGGGGCTCTGGGGTGGGGGAGGGGATTCAGGGCAGGTGACCCGGTGGGCCGGGGGGGGGGGGGGGGGTGGGGGGGGGGGGCGGGGGGGGGGAGCCCAAGGTGGGGCTGTGGGTCGGGAGTGAGGGGCAGCAGCAGAGCAGTGGTGTAATGGCAGACAATAGGAAATAGAGGCTCCTTCTTTCCTGGCCTTTTGCTCTGGGCATGGGGGAGCCGTTCCAGTGGGGCCAGGAGCCCCCAGCTCCGTGGGGCAGGGCCCAGCATTCCCAGATGGAGCTGAGCCCACCCAGAGCTGAGCGGAGACCCAGGTGGGGGTGATCCCGGGAGCCTGGCAGCGGGCGTGTGTGCTGGGAGGGCAGGCAGTACCACGGGGCCCACGGTCTGAATGCTGGCTCCCTATGTGTGGGGAAGAAAAGGGGCGAGGTTCCAAGAGGGGCTGGAGCCGGCCCTCCTGCTCCAGACCAGATACTATGGTGACAGGCAGCATGTAGGTACGACGGCTTAGAGCTGAGTCCGCTGCCCGCCATGCCCATGAGCATCATCTCATTGTTTCCTGCCCCCCCTCCCCGGCTGCCCCCACCTCTTGTCTGACGCTTTGGCCCCGATCCCGCCAACGCTGCCACGCGCTTCAACTCAC